GTCCTGTGGAACAGTGACAACACGAGATGACAAAAGAACAACACGAAAATCCCCGATATATTTAAACTAGAGCAGATTAATTATCTCGCAATAATTAGATATGTTGTCGTTTCAGTTTTTCTCAAATAAGTTGTTTGCACAGCCATCTCCATTTACCTTTACCCAACAAGTGCGTTCTAGTTGCCATCCCAGTCAAGTTCAAATTGTGAACTTTCCCCTCCTCCTGCCTGGCAATTGACGTTGTCTGTTCGTCGACAGGCTCTTGGCCCCTCACAATGTTGACAATGGTTTCAGCTCAGACGAATCTCTTGACAGCTGCAGTCAAGTTGGCTTGCATTCAGAGCTGCTGACTAAAGCCAGATCTGCGATGCAGGCGGAATTCAGGAGGTCGTAAGGAAAAAGGACATGTAAGGGCCTGCGCGTATGTATGATAAGTGCGGAGGGCTAGCGAGAAATGGCACAGCTTATGTTCAAATGAATGCCCCTATACCCAAACTCATATAACTCGGCTACGGTGTCGTTCAAGTGAGCACAAAAGCGAACAGGGAGGGGGACAATTTAGGAGCCGAAGCAGATGTGGCTATAGAAGCGGCGGCGGCAGCAGCAGCAGCAAGGGTACGCAGGTCTTCTTATCATAATGGATTAGCCCCTAGTAGCTCTGAGTCAGCACTCAAGTATAGCCCCACACAGCCAGCACATTCGTAGGCAGCAAAAGAAAAGAGTTTCGAACCGCGAGAGAGTCGCCTTGTTTCGTGCTTCGCGTTTAAAAGATGAGGGCTAGTAGTTGCGATCGTGCTGAGATATGTTTGGGACCTGGTCGATTCGTGCTGAAATATATATCTGTACTGTCAGTGCATAAGTAATCTTTTGTCTTGCCCCTTTCTAAAGTCTATTGTATTTGACTTATCACATGAAAATAATTAAATAGTTAAATGTCTCGGAATAACCACAACAAGGTGGATTCCAGATCAAATGATATTCGAGCAGAGAGAAAACGAAGGCAGCAATGTCAACATCATTACAATTATTACACAATATTAACGGCAACAGTGGAAGCGGCGGCGGCGGCGGCGGCGGCGGCGGCGGCGGCGGCGGCGATAACTCCACTAACGCTGAACGTAGTGGGTCATTCGTGAGACTCAGCTATTGAATAAGTTCTTTGACATATTTCGGTTTAGATTTGAGCTCTAACTACCCTAGCTATTTTAACTATGTGGTTGTCATAGGTCTACACGGCTAAGGGAAGCACAATTGAGGCGTAACGCCAAAATCTGTCCGCCGTATCACCACAAAAGAGCAGGACAACGAGCATCTAGACGGTAGGATACCCTATTGGCCTCTGGAGGCGTTGCTAATTTTCCCTCTTATGGAAGAGACCTCAGACGCGCATGAGAGAGGAAGCGAAACGATACTTAGTTGTGGTACCCCGTACGAAGGATACTAAGTACAAGGCCAGGCTGTATGAAACATAAAAAGCTTAGCAGATGCTGACTGCTGGTAAAACTGGTCGACTCACTCTATGTTAGCGGCATTATTTGACGGCGAGCTCTGGCCATAGAAGCTAGATAGTTTTTGGTCACTCAAGAAGTATGTCAACTAAGTTCGTTTGATTTTCACTATTTCAGCGTGAGAGATTATTATGTCGTATTGTTTTACAAGTTAAACGTGCCAATTTTGAAAAAATGTAACCTGGCTTCTGACATCCACCGACTAGCCACTAACAGGGTGGAGCATCACAATTCGGGATACCTATGCTGCTAGATGGAGCCCAGCTGGGCAACGGACCGAGGCGAATACCCATCTTATGCTTCTTCTTGTATTATTACGCGCTTGAGTAGCCAGCACAGCCACTACCACCTGCAATACCACTGCCGCAAGCGACAGCAAAGGGCGTTCAGCCAGTCAGGCTGTTTACCATTGCCCTTGGCGTTGTCTAAGATGATCTCAAGTGGCGTTTCGTCCTATGTTCTTTTATTTTTGCATCAGTCCCCTAAATGTCCGCTCTTTGTACCACGTATGCCCTACTGGCATATCTGCCTAACATGTGACATCTGATTTCGGCTGTGGAATATGAACGCTACGCGGCCAATGCATTCTGTGTTTTTTCCTCTTCTCTTATTTTACATATTGCAGCAGTGGCAGAGCAGCCTCCTGTCAGTTGTCTATATCTCTGTCAAACAATACGAACGGATCAGCGCCCTTTTTTAGACTTTTACTCAAACACAAGTTGAATTTCTTAGTGCAGTATGTACAGAAAGCACAGGTTTAAGACCTTTGTTTTGTACAATCAATCTCGCGGACTTGCGATTAGATGGGCCGTGGAAGTGAAGAGTTATTAATAATCACAACAAGGATTTATCTGGTCTGACATAAAGGCTCATCAAACCTTTGGTGGTTTCCGTAAGCTTCGCTCAAAGTTCTCCAGTAATCAGTTTCTACACATAACTAGGAATTAAGCACTCGAGATTTAACCGTTTACTTAAGTTTTTACAAAGGTATGGATGCTATTCGACGGCATCTGAACTCCTTTTTTAACCCGGAAGTTATTTATCTTTCGCTTTTTAATATTGCACTAAGATGTCTATATGTGGGTTACAACCTAAATGTATAAAAACGTTCCTTGTTGCTGCTCGGCAACTTCGAGCTTTTCTATCAAGTTCTTGACTTGGCTGAGAGCAAGCAGGTTTCCGAAAGCCTCAGTGCGTCTCATTTAGGTTTGGAAACGTCTAGCTTTCAACTCTCTCCTCATAAACAGATAGACGCACACACAGTAAATGTCTCTGAGACATAAGCTTCCGTTTGAACTTCAAAATCACACCCACTAGTTTTTTGGCAGTCTCGCTAAGCCCTTATCATCGATACGATCCTTGCAGGGGCATGTTTGCCGCCATTTCGTCGCTCCTCTTTTAGGTTAATTTCACTAGATATCGACAGATCGACAGACTTCTTACTGGGTGTTCTGGGATGTCTCTGTCGATCCCTGCCGGTCTGTCTTTCGTTGTCTTTTTTTTGCTGCCTTCTAACACGACTACCCCCAGCCCGTCATTTTGGTCGACCCATTCCACTCAGCCTTGTCTGGGTTCTCATTTGGTCTTTTAAAACTCGAAGTAGACCTACCAAACAAGTGAAACAGACGCAGTCGGCAGCACTGTATAAGCCATTTCTTCGTTATAGGCCACTAATGTAGCACTTGGTGTCAGGCTCTCGCTGAAACCGTGCACAGCTACTACAGGGAATTTCAACGCGTCCTTCAATTGCGTTTCGTTTTAAACTCAACCTGGGTGCGTACCGGTAATGAAGGGTGGTGTTCTACTGTAGAATAGCAAGCCGTTGTTATAGCAGAGGGTGTGCACCGGTAAAGGCTGCCGCGTTTAACCTCTCCATCACATAGTCTTCATTGCACAACATAAATAGATCTGCCAGCTGCTCCTCGTATAACACATCTACTAACTGTGCTGTAGTCAGGTTTGTGTGGAGTTTCAGGTGAATGGAACAAGCTAAGTCAGGACGAGATAGAGCCTGCTTTCGATACATCGAAATGACCCTATTTTCATTTCGAAGACAAAATAAAGGGATAACATTTAGGCTTTCATTGCACACAGTCGAGGCAAACTCCCACTCAGTGGTGACCTTAGTCTTTGCCCCCTGACGATGTACGCAAATGATAAAATCTCGACGCCCCTAAATCAGTGCGACACGCTTTGTTATCTTTGTGGTATAAAAAATAATAGGAAAGTTTCGAAATACATTATCTCACTATATATAGTGAATTTGAAACACTTCATTGTCATAAAAAAGACTACGAGAATTTTTCGTTCAGTAAGTTGATGATAGTCTAGGTTCTATTGATAGAATAGATGTTATTTCCTTGTGGTGGTCGTTAGATGCAGACGATTGGTTGTTTGATTTAATAATCATTTTTAATATGCTATATATAGCATGAGACGTCCATTGTTCATATGCACAAATTTTTGTTTAAGCTCTCGGTCTACGCTTTATTTTATCCGATATTAAACTGGACTATATTGGAATACTTGTACTAGTACCTTGGCTATGCTGTCGACGCTATGCTAGATAATTTATCGAGTGCTTCTGATAAATCTTATCTTTTTTTTTTTTTCTGCCTGCAACCGATTGATCTTAATATGACGTGTCGCCAATCAAAAAAAATATTTTCAATTTTTAGGCTTCAAAGTAGTAAATCTCTGCTAGAAAAATCACATTTTTTTTTTACATTTGCATATTATTAAAGTATTATTTGTTTTCTTTTTGTTACCGGAATATAACTTGGACTTCAAATATCGATAGTACCTTGAATTCTAAAGAGCTATGCAGATTAGCTTCTGCTACCCGCTGAGATCCTTACAAATGATAGACTATTGTGTAAGGAATGTATTTACATCATCTTTAAACATCTCGGTTTTGTCCAAGAATCTGTGCATATTGTTGTTAATCATGTATCCATCTATATCGTCATCTTTCTTTGGTGGACCGAGTTAGGTGCTACCTCACTTTTGCAACTACATCGACGTACTTGATCAATCCTATCACAGCTTAATGGATAACGTATTTGCCTGCAATTCCTAGGGCCACGTAGGTTCGAATCCACGCAAAGACACACGTCGTTTCGCGCTGGGAGCCAGTCTTCTGATGGAATACCTAACGGCGATGTAAAATATATAAACAGGAAATCGATGAAGGCAAATACGGAATATTAATTCAACTAAATAGCAATTCAATTAAAGGTAAAATCCAAGCGGTAAGACAACGGAAAAATACTCAAGGAATACTAAGCAGGAATTTTCTTTCAAAGAAGAGGTAGGACATGATAAAAAAGTGTATCACAAAAGCTGTAATGTTTAATATAAAAAAAGTTTGGATTGAAGTACTATAATTTTTATTGTCTTTAATAAGCATCCTTGATGTGCAAAAGAAAACTATATAATTTATATTATAGCTTTCTTGGAATTGTGTAGATAGCGCCGTATTAGTTATATAAGTAAACAGACGCACAGTATAGCAAATATGCAGTACCAGTTTTTTAGGGTTAGTTGGCCACCGGCAAACTGTTTAGTGATTTCGGCGATACACCAAAAGACTGAGAACATTTATGGTACAAGGGTTTCAGAGAACCGATAGTACTCTACGACATAACCTTCTATGTTTCACATATCAAGCTTCATTTCTGTTTGTGCCTCTTCTTGGGGGCAGCTACCTATAATAAGCTGTACTAAGAATGTTATTTTGAAAAATGGCTTTTGAGGCCATGTGTATGGATCCACTTTATTTATATGAGATCATGTATCGAACACTGCTGAAGATTCCTTCCCATTTCTGGCGTACTTTTTTCCAGTTGTTTGCTAAGGAGCAGCACCACCTGGTGTCACGGGCTCTACAAGCAGCGACTGGCAGATGCGATACCGATATTTGCGTCGCGGCTGTGTGCCCGAGTGTCTGCTTGTAATCGTCTTTTGCCCGTTTTTCTTTCTCTTGGTCTGCTCTAACTGTACGATTACGTACAAACTTGTTGTATGTGTATCCATTTTCACGTAGACGAGCCCGCGCTTTTGCCCGAAAAAATTTGCTTCTAGAGGTGCTGACTGGCTGACTGACACAAATAGAGCCACGAAGCTGCAGAAAAAAATAGGAGAAAGAGAGGGCCAGAGGTGAGCATAGAAGACAAACGTGGGTGCGTGAGTGACGCCGGCTTGACTGACTGGCTGCGTCAAAGTAGTGTCGCCTGCTCCGTTCTTGCGCCGTCTGTTTTGTGAACCCGAATCGTCTTCAATCAGAGAGACGTCAGGCGGTCGGCTGCTACCTTCATCAGGCTTCCAGCCTACTACTTGTTATTGCTTGGCATGGGATTGCCAGCAAATGCAACCGCTTTATTCTTTGACGCAATGCGGCTGAACGGACGAGCAAAAGCGTATAACATTGACCTCACTCTGCCTCCTGGAATGGCAACGGCGCTGCTCGAACGAAGTCACTCGACTTACTCTGTTTGCCTCAGCATGAGTTCGAAGCAACTAGGTGCTACGGGAGGAAAGTGTTGGCACAAATGCTCTATCTCGATGGAAGACAAAATATGTTGAAGACAGGCTAGGAACAGAGTATCGCACATAGCGCCTTTGGTGATTCCTACATAATTCCTTGGATGCTTTCCGCTTTGCCTCCTGGTAACGGAGGATCTTCGACAAGACTGGCGTCGGTAACGCTACCACCTGACCCAACGATCCAGCCAGTTAGTCAGCCATCTAGAGGCAGATGGAGAAGCGATAAAGACGGAAAAACGATGTCATTGTCGTTCCTGCTTCTTTCTTCTTCCTCTATTGTTTGCTTGTACCGTTTCCTTTCTGTGTTAGGCTTAATTCTGCCGCGTCGCCGTGGACCTAGTACAATATAGCCACGATCCAATTGCCTCATTGGGATCTCCGCCACTTCGACTCTCTCATTTTACAGCATTGTCTTTTTTTCGTGTTTCTATTGTTGCGACCGGAACACACAGCCTGGCCCATCGAAATAGGAAAACTTTAACCACTACATTATGAAGCACGTAGGTAGTTCTGTCCGTCACATATGTGGCACTAGTTTGGTGTCAACTGTGCAGATTACGGCAGAAAACTCTTGGCTGTACAGCCAAACTGTATTGCCAGCATGGCCTAGCTACCACGCACACGATCAAAAGAACAACCATATGCTTGCCTCGTTCGATAACTTGGCTTAACAAGCAATAAGGCGGACCAGTCTAGGGCGACAGCAGCTATAACCAGTGGCTGGAGGACCCGTTTGATGTACCGAGTCGTTCCGTTGTAAACACTTAAATGTGTACTTCCTTCTTAGCCGTTCTTGCTCACTGTAGGGAATTGCAGTAGAATGGGGACCGGGGAAAAGGTACAGCCAGGTAGCCATCAGTTGGTAAGAAGTAGAACTTTTGGCGACTGCCATGTGACAGTGTCCACGTTGTGCTAGCATGAACGTTAGGTTTCTCTGAAATGGTCAAAGGTTATCGACAATTCTTACCTGTCCAACACCATCGTTATAGGTATACAGCTAACTAGGTGTCTAAATGGATATATACTGCGTATCCATTGCTATTATCACTCTGGTCTCCCATCTTCATTCTCAAGATACCTTATAACACACTGAGCGCAAACGTAAAAAGACACGAGTGCAGAGATATACAGGCACTTCTAAACATAGAAGGTCATTGTGGAGTCTATTGAGATTAGTGTGAAGCTCAAGTGGCGGGCTCATCGATGCAGCGGTTCAGTTTCTGGTTTGTTAAATGGTGTCCTTTGCAGTTATCCACCGAAACAGATCCGTACGACGAACAACAGTGTGCCATATAGGGATGCTGTTATGTACCACGACTGCATGTGAACAGTGACATCAAACACTCGTCTGAGACCCATCGGGGTCACAGGGGATTGTGGATGAATCAAGAGGAAGCCAGGGTAAGCAAAGCACCCGCTATACAAACATTAAGAGAATTTTGGGCAAGACTGTGATAGAGGAGAGCTTGAGCACTGAGCCTCTAAAAGCAACGGTCGATGTAGTAAGTATTTCCATCAATGGCAAGGGGCAAACACTGCTCCCGTATTCCACATGAGGCCCCGTTGAAAGCAAGGAAGCTGGTCCAGCATTTGATACAGGTTCATGGAGGGGTCTGCCTTATAAGAGGCGGCCGGAGGGAAACCACAGATAACATGCTAACAATAGCCTTGCTTATTCATTAGCTTTTATCTTGTCTCTATTTTGTCTGTGACAACTTTGTAACAGTACAGAAGCAGGCGTTAATAATGAAGAATAACGTTTCGCAGAGACAAAGACGGCAAAGCGGCAACACCAGCTGTTGCTGCGTTATGTTACGTGTCAGTCTTTTTTAGTCGTTGGTCACCTATTACACATTACATTGGCTCAGACGTATCGACGCAAACATTTGACTATCGATAACTCAACTGCTTCACGGTTCTCATTGACTATAGATGAGTATACGTATACATTGTCCCAATTGTATTTGAGGCTTGAGTTAATTCTGATAGGAAACAGAGTGCCGATGTCGTTCTTTCAGCCTCTGGCGGTAATGATTATGATTCAGTTTATCGTATATAGGAGGATGCATAACTATGAAGATTCTTTGAATTTTTATACATAATTATTAGCATTTTAAGCATGACCGGCTCAAAGTTCATTGCGCTCATAGAAAGCAAACAAAACAGTTTCGGCAACAACCTTATCAATCGAATTGATTTGTATACCGCCTTAAGAAGTACCTTCTCGTATATATGCTCATTGTTCTTGCTTTTACCTTATGAACTTGGCGGTTATACCATATGCTGGCCTAAGCCCTCCAAAACATGCTTGAAGCGACCAGAGATGCATGTCCAAAATATCCATATTCTCTCACAAAGTCTATGGCGCCCCCAAGCCCACCAAAAGCCCACAAAAAAGTGATCGAATGCAATTAGAAACTGGATCGCGTGATTTGCTACGGTTTTAAGTTCATCATGGACTACCTTTTGTAAGTTCATCTTTCATTCGAAACACTGGGTGTTTTGCTCATACAAAATAAAATCACATATTGGAATGCACGCACGCACGCACGCACGCAGTGCAGTTAGGATGTGTTTTCAGAAACACTTGCTTACCACTTTTTATTATTTCACCATATTGTCCACTTTTCGAAGAAATTCCAACTGTACCATAACGATCATATTGTACTCAACCGAGCAGTCAGCGTGGCGTGCTTAATCTGACAGTAGAACAGCGGCTGTTAAACTCATTTTCTTTGTAATTTATGTATAAATATGGGAGGAATATAAGAGTCGACAATTCAAGTTTCAGGTTTTTGTGGTGCTATTTGCGCTATTGGGCTGCCATCGTTAGTAAATAAACCCCACGATTGGCGACGCTATAAAAAGGGGCACGTCGATCCAAGGAAGCCAACAAGTAAGAGCATCCAATCGTTTGGCAGCCCGAATGCTGTTAATACATAACGAGATCTATGAGAACGAATAGGAACGCGATCCTACAAGAAAGGAAGGATCGTTGGGTTGTGCCCTGAATGGGCGTAAGTAGTTCACTTGGATGCCACACCGATCCATGGGGGAATTGCATGTTGCTTTTAGCTTTGCATGAGGTGACCATGTCTCTTGTAGACGTATGGGCCCTTAGCGTGCGAGCTTCTTTTCAGCTGAAAAGCGAGGGGCGAAAGTTAAAGCCCTCACCGCTTCTATCGTCTAGCCCTATCTGGATCGTGTAACCTAGCGCATCTAGGAGATACGACTACGACGACGACGACGACGAGGGCGACAAGCAAGACAACGAAATCGTGGCCCCTGCATTTGGCCAAACTGACTCTGCCCTCATGGGTGTAGTGGAGTTCTGGGGGCGCCGGCAGTGAACATACATCGATGTGGTTGCACAGATGGGGCTTACGCCGAACAGGACGGCTTGTAGTTCAAACGGTAACGGTCTTATATCTTCTTGCTAATAGCAACAGAAGCAGCGGCGGCCGTCGAGCGCGCTTGTTGTAACTATGTTGAAGATAGGGCAGAAAGAATATAAAAGAAGCAGTCGTTCACCTCACGCTTTCTCCGTTGCTGCTGCTGCTACTGTGCGCCAGTCCAGGATTCAACCGGACACGGTGGAGTCGAAGCTCCCGGATGTCCTTTGGCCGGAGAGGGGTGCATGAAGATGAGGTTAATTTCATTGCCGCTGCAACCGCCACTGCAGCGACAAAGCCCGTCGAGAAGCCTGGATGAAAGACCGGGAAAAGGAATGAGAGGCCTATAAGAGCATGTCGAAACGATAAACTGAGTTAGTGGGAGGGGGTGTGGGTGCTCGGTCAAGCAGACTGGGTAGCTGAAGAAATTCATGGTAAAGGGACTTCGTCTTTTTCGTCTCCGCATTCGGCTGTGCTAAACCTCTGCGCGTCAGGCCGACATGTACACATAGAGCGGGACCGAAATCCCGCCAAGAGGAAAATCAAGAGAGCGAACCGTTAAGAGTCGACAATGGGAACCAAGTTGAAAGAGGGGGGAATGCACGTGCAACGTCTCAGATAAAATATGGCAAAAAATAAGTGGAAGTGGCAATATGAAGTGAAACTATTGTCGATGATAGGCATGCATATTTTACCTCCTCTTTGCAAGCTGCCTTTGTCCCGTGCTCATTCGAGGAGAGGACTTAGCCAAGCCGGCAGGCCTAGCAATACAAGCAAATAAAGCGGGTTTATTTAAAGACTGTAACGTGTTTCATACGGAGGAATCCTTCTGCTGCCTAATTAGGCCCATATGAAAAGTATTTGGCTTCAAAAAGATGCAGTTAATTACGTGTATCCTAGCCGTTTACCTTAATTGACAAATATGGTGTGCATAGTGAAAAGCAATTAGATTAAAGAGAAAAATGTGATTTTTATCTACCGAAACGGCAGCTCAATAGTAAGACTATGACATTCAAACAACAGACATATTAAGAACAGCACGTATACCGTTTATACATGCCTTGTATCACTTGTAGTCCTTAACGACGACCCGCAATCTCTAGCACAGACCGGGTTTTCCAAGCAAAATATTTGCTCTGTGTTGTAGCTTTGCACTAACGAAAACGCAACTGTTTTTAACCATTTTATCTCTGACAAACGATATGCTGACTGATGCTTTGTTGCAACAAAGTAAACAATATTCAAAGTAGCCAAAAACAGGTGGTCGGCTAGACCAGTAATTTAAATTCAAACATGGGGTAAGCAAAACTCTGATATAAACAGTTTGTCCTGCCTTTTTGAAATTAAGATTAGGGTCTCTAGACTAACCCACAAAAAATTAAATTATCTATTTATATAAGTATCAATTCTGATCTTTATCATGGCTATTCGTCGTCGTTAAGCTGTTGTCTAGTGAGCTTACTGCTTAGTAAAATGTATTACACTTATCGGTCATCCATATAACTGGTTCGGATAGCGTGCATGTCTTTGCAAAACAGCTAGCATTTTTTTTTTTTGTTTCAATCCAAATGGCTGGAGCTTGTTCGTCATGGCAAAACAAAACAATATTCAAAAAGGCAAAACAGGCACCTCCAAGGGGCACGTTTAGGTGACTCTATTAAAAACGTTTGGTATTATACTTTTTGTGTCGCACGATATATCAGCTACGTCGGAAAATACGTGCACGAGCAGTTGAAGCTTTGTCGTGACTAGCAACCGTTGCTAAAACTGGACGAGTTTGATGTTTCGGCATCGCAACGTATCACTACCATGATACCGCCAACGCGAAAACGAACGCATACTTACGATGAGTTAAATATCACATATTCCATACTCACTGGAAGCGGGTGAACAGAAACATAAAAAATAGTTTTTTTTTTATGTTTACAGGGTTGCGCTACAGATCCATACTGATATCAATGTCAATCATTCATCTTTCTCATCACAGCCACAATGTTTAGCTGGGTCAGCCATGAAATTACTCGTAATACACTTCGCACCATCGTTAAGTAAAACTTCAGCCAGATGAAGCAACGATGATTGAGGTATTTTATTGACAATACCTTTTAACACTTTTTGTTTTCGAATGTCAAACACCATAATGCTACGTGTATTTGATACTTCATCGAAATTATAGGCTTGATTCACTGGAACTCTTTGCTCGAAGTTAGTCTAACAGGAATTACGAAAACGAACTTAACCCCAAATTGGACTTCCTGGTTAGAGCGGACCGTGGCCCGTGCCAACGTCAGGTGACGTAATCGGAAGTTATGTATTGGAAATAGTTGATTTCGGTACTTAGTGATTCAGATAATTTAATAGCAATTTTATATAGGACAGTTACTGACACCCATTTGAACTTCTATGGAAGTTACAGCTTATACGAGAAAGCGTCGTTTTATAACAACGAAATTGAATTCTTCTATTGAAGTAATTGTTGAAGGCTAATTTTATGAAGAATTCTATAGTTGTCGACTGGCCGAACAGGACAACTAATTTTATTGGCTGCATAACTTAAAATCATGGCCTTTCAAGCCATGAGACCTGATTCCCGATGTTCATATTAGAAGAGCCGATTTTTTTATCGTTCTTAGTTTGTATCAGAACTACTTCGTTAAAAAGTTTACAGAACTCGATAATTCTTCTGAGATTGTGAAAGTCAACACCAGTTTGAAGATTATTGTTGTTTCTAATTTGGACCTACAACCATACAAGATTATGGCTGGATAAGCATACTTTCTAGATTGGGGGGTAACGCCCATCATGCAATTACATACCAGATCATCAACAAATTACGTTCGCAAAACGTTCATTACAAAAGTCTAATATTAGATCAAACTGGGTTCGGACCCGCGAAAAAAAATTTTTTTTTGAGCATGGTGTGGTTTTGCTTATTAATAGTACTATTACTTATTAATAATACTACTACGCGGTATTGGTTATTCCATATAGTCCATAGTATTGGTCAGCTGAAGAGCTGGCAGTCAGGGCTATATGTAAGAGAGGTGTAGCTTTTAGTAAAAAATAATAGTAATGAATCTATTTGAAAAATACTTTAGGCAGGTTTTTCTTGCGTTCATACTCGAGACCGCTAAATCTTCTTTGCCGTTGGCGCAACACCCTGTGCGTATTTTTCGTAGCTGCAGATTTCGACAATTACTTCAATAGAAGTAACTACCATGTGATTAAAATTAATAGACGGCGCAAGATATATTAATTGCATTTCATACTGCATGTTTCCACTGGGAAATATCCGGCACATCTGCGAGCTGCGACGGTGCCTCGAAAGGGTAGTAAGTAAGTAAGTAAGGCTTTACGACGTGCCATTTTCACATAGCTTCAACAAGCTTCCCTCGTGCCCAGTTTCGGTTCAGCTCTTAAACTGGCCACAACTACGGAGTACTAGCAGAGTGGGCTCGAGAGCAGCGGAAGCAACGGTAGATTGATAACAATCGCTGACAAAAATGCCCACATCAGTATCGCCCGCCATATGACATGGTTGGTTCGTACAACCATTACACCGTTCGCTATTTTGTATATTGACGTTAGTGAGAGAGCGGTTTTGGGCAATCTTTCATCAGCTAAATTGCCGTAAAGACCATGCTAGTCAATGCCTAGACGGTATTTAGCGGTGGGCCATCAAGATCGAAGAGTCCAGCACCTGCAGATTGTGTTGAATGTATTATAAGACAATTTCCATCTCTGTCCCGGTTTGCTAAGCCGTTGCTAAAAAAAATACAGTCTAGCAACGCGTTGCTCCGTTACATAAGCATTGCACATAACCATAATCAAGCCAGTGATACATATAGTCTATGTAAGTCTGCCCTGTGCCCACATTAAAACACAGCAACGGAGCCCCTAACTTATCGCACGGTGTAGAAGATCTATTCATAGAAATCATGTAATACTATTTCCTTGACAGTCGCGCGGTCAAAGGAAAACAGCGTCATTGGGCTATCCAGACGTAAGTATGCACGCGACATTACCCTTTGAAGCGTGACAAGACGTCGGCTACATGGTACACGTATCAGCAGCAGCAGCAGATGAAATCTTCTGCACCGTAAGCGAGATGGGGGTTCGGTATTCTTCGGAATCCCCTCGGGATTGTGGCTCATCAAGACTGGCTAATTTCGTGTTATTACGCTAGTGAGCAGAGCATTGACGGCCTAAATAACTAATTACGCCGGTCCATCTTTGACAATTGTAGAGAGCTTATATCACTGCAGGTCTCTAACTGTACTATTTATCAGTTTGAAACAGGTGTTATGAGTTTCTGCATAACTCGACTAAAGTCAGAGAAGACATCGATTCTAATAATTTGTAAACTTTTTCTGGCCTTAGTATTATTTTACTACACCTACGCGCCTGAAACATATGCAAATTGGTTTGCACCTGAGCTATGAGCCGGAGACTAAAGTAATAATAACGATCCTGAACTGCCCTCTTTGGCCAGTAACTTTCTGGGAATATCACCAGTGAAAACTTCTATCAGAGGTCCGATAAATGAACTAGGTCGGTCTACAATTTCACCAAACTATATCTGTGAATAGAATAAACGATCTACTCTTTGTTAGAGTATAGGATATTATTGTTTACAATTTTTAATTTGTTGTTTTTAGAGGGAATTCAGAACAAAGCCGTTAAATAAAAAATCGAACAAACACTTTATGTTTCTAAAGTGATAATAATAACGTTATTATATGTATTTTTTGTAATTGTATCTTCTAACTTTCTTTTGTCGTTTTGTTGTAGATTATAGGCGTGTATGTGCCTATACGTGGTAGGTCTCGAATCGAAGCTTTCATGAAGTAGCACGAGACATCCAAACTATCGTAACGTTTCAGGAACAATCTAATACCATGTCAATAACTCCGCCCAGTAACGCCATAGCGTTTAAATGTAACAACTACTACTACTACTACTACTACTATAGGAAGATCTGCTGCGTTCATTCAAAAGGATTTTATTGAATAGTGTCAGAATGCTAGGTAGTATGCATAGAAATGGTACCTGTGACACAGGTAGTTCCGTTCTTCATTGCAATAATCTTTTCCTATGATGTGAAATGAAGACTCTTCAACTGTTAACAGACCCTTTTAAACTGCCAAAGTACCTTTGTCCGAAAGCCGCAGTCTGTCTATGCTATTTAAATCTCTAACTTTCTACACAATCGTTTTGATATTACCTTTGTTTGTTTTTTTTTTGGGTTGTATTTACGGGGTAATGGCGAGCCTGCTCTCAAATATTTCGATGGTTGCGCCCTATGTTGCGA